TCAAAAGTCTCCTTCTATTCTAGTTGATACGCCATGTCATTAAATCATCATTTAAAAAAATAATAGACCTATTTAATTAATCAAACTTATGTCTCTACAAAACAAATATATAAATTACATGAGAATTTATGAAGATTATAAAAAAAAATTAAAAATCTAATTCCTTTATATATTTTTACCAAAAAAAATTCAATGAAAAAACCTTTGTGTGCAATTATTACCTGGTAATTTTAAAAATTCCTAAGTAAATTATTTGAAAATTGTAAGCAATTTTTTTTATAAAAGTTTTCAAATAAATTTGGAAGGTTGACAAAAAAGTTGGTATGAAAGAGAAAATCATTATTTAACTTTTTCTTAGTTTAATTTCTATTTTTATTCTTTTATTCTATATTATATTATATTTTAACTTTTCATACAATTAAACACCAATATATATTCTTATCTCATCCCAAATTTATGAAATATAAGTAATAATTAATTGAATTGAATATTTTAATTCAATAATATACATATTATATGAGTTTAATATATTGATAAATAAAGATCAAAATTTTATTTTCTAATATAAATATTATTCACTTTCTATTTTCTTTTTAAAAAAAAAAAGATATTGTAAGTACATATGGATTTCAAAGCACCGGATAATTATTTTTTAATAGCTAATTGACCTTTAATATTATTGATCCATTATATAAAATATGATTAATTGATGTAAGTTGACATTCATCAGTGATTTATATATCAATATTTTTTTTGAATATACGTGTTTATAATTATTCAAAATTGATGAAATTATGGTAAGTTTTAAAAAACTCTTCTTCATCGCATAAAAAAATTAATTATGATAAAAGATTCTTAAGTATAAAATTTATTCTTAATAAACTAATATATCTTTTAAAAAATAAAATATGATCATTATTTTAGTTAAATGGGTTTAATGAATTAAATTAGTCTATTATTAAAAAAAGACTTTAATGGCATGTCATGCCAACTAGGAGAGAGTGAAATCTTTGGAATGTCAAGCATATTTGAAGGAAAATAGTGATAGTCGAGTGATATTTTGGTCCTAAATAAAATATAAATGATATTTCAAGGCAATTTCCTAAACCTGGATGACCATTTCGAGAATTGACTCAGATACTTGTGATTAGGCAAAGAGAGATGGGCCGGATAATAAAATCTACTTAAAAGTACTAACACTTTTTAAGTAGGAATTCGACTCATATTATGTTAACTTCTCAAACTATCGAGTATGATATATTCATGAACAGATAAAGCAAACTCTCAATTAGATCTATCATTTTTATGCTAATTTGCATGTTAGATCTCATCTTATGCATTTACATTAGAAAATAACATAATTATAGTGGAAGCAAACCTTTGTTTTATGGGAAAATTGTATATAATAACAAACTATTAATTCAAATTAAATGTTATAAATATAGTTTGATTTAATTGTACCTCATAGCAAACTGTTGCTATTTCACCTCTCTCCTGGTGAATCTCGCTCGCCACTCTCTTTCTCTCCCTCACCTCTCTCGTTTTTTATACAAACGCAAGTGTATAAAGTGTGTTTGTGTTCGTATAAAGCGAGAGAAAATTGTATATATACATATATTTTCGTTCCCCTCTTTCCCCTCTCCCAAATCTCGTTCGCCACTCTCCCAAATCTCGCTCTCTCACTCGCCTCTCTTCACTTTATACAAAAACGCAAATGTATAAAAATGCGTGAAAATTGTATATATACATATATTTTCGTTCCCCTCTTTCCCCTCTCCCAAATCTCGTTCGCCACTCTCCCAAATCTCGCTCTCTCACTTTATACAAAAA